TTTTTTTTTTTTATTCTATCAATTGCAAATTCAGAGAGGACATTAAAATGCAGGGAAGAAATTAAATACATTTTTTCCTAGGATTAGTTATTTTGTAATAAAATTCAATCAACTAAAACATCACATGAAAGAGAGGCATTTTCTCAAGGATTATTTTCCCAAGACTGGGTCCTGCCTTGGTTGAAGCCATGACAGGTCTGCCCCTCAAGGACAGTACAGGGCCTGTGGGTTAATGTTTGCAATTCCTTAGCACAGAACAAGGAATCCCAAAGTGCTGGCTGTTACTACAATCTCCATAAATCTACTCAGCTGGAATGAGCAGCAGCTGGGGGCTTCCTGTGTAGGAATGGTGAAAGCAGCTGGCCTGAGACACTGCTTAGGGTCTCCAGAGGGGGAATGAGAGAGCAGGGACAAAGCAAATACCACCAAGCTCACACTGGGGAAAGTGGAGTGTTGGGAAAATCCACTTTAAAACTGAGAAGCAGACCAAGAAAGCTGTAACCCAGTTCCAGCAAGGCTGTTTTTCCGGGGGACACAAGCCAGCAGTTGGGGGGTTCCTCAGGATGCCTTTTCACAGACCCTTGGAGGGCCTTGAGACTCTTTTGGTGGTTATGAGAGATTAAAACTATTTCCATAACAACACCATGTATGTGTGAACATTTGCACTATTGGTGCAAAAGCAAATGTGGATATAAGCTTGTCAGCACCTTTGGTTGAATCAGGACTGAAGCTGCAAATCTTACTAGTGGTCTTGGTCTTCACTGCTGTATACTCACAGAAAAAAGGAGGGGGGACAAAAAAGTTCAGTTTCAAATAAAAATGTTCTTGATGAATCAGTAAAATTATCATTTGCATGAAATCTCTGCTCCCAAATCAGAATCTTTTACTATTCTGTTATGAAAGAGGATGTATGCAGAAAGCACCCATGCTGTATACTGGAAAAGCACCCTGCGGGTGCACTACCAGCTGATCTAGCCATTTTTATGCAGCATCAATTTTTACTCAAAAGAATGACTGACATGCAAACTTTAGTTGCATGCTAACTCTTATAATTGACTGACAATTTTCTAAATTTGGGTGAAGTGTATATTCACTATTATGAGCCAAAATGGAGCAGCAGCAACTGGATTACCACTACTTCACCCCCAAGAAAGTGGAAAAAAAAAAGTAAGCCAGACACATTAAAAAGACAATGGTCTTCAATATTGGGCAACTGGCAGATCAGGCTGGTGAATCCTGAGAGAAGAAATACAACCAAGGCATCTTAGCTTCCTATCAGGAGTATCCAGGCCATCGTGTGGAGAGGGAACCCAAACAGAACCAGAGATCTCCCTGAGTTGAGGAAAGAGTTATTCAGGGAAGTCAAGATGACTAGAATCCACAGGCCAAAGTACTGAAGAGGAGAGAGCTATTCAGAGAGAAATCACTTCAGTGGTCTGCAAAGTGTTCTTCAACAAAGCATTGAGCTAGACCCACAGGCCTGTGCAGAAATCTCTGTCCCCATTAAAATATTTAAGGCAAAAGTAAAATATTTAAGGCAAAAGATTTGGAGGATCATTTAGGGCACAAGGACTCTATGGGGTTTTGTCCTTCACCCCTGCCCCTCTCACCTCTGAGGACAGACCTGTGGCTCGGTAAAAGGCAGGATGAAGGGAAGGTCTTCTCTGCCTGCATCTGACACTCCACTGCTGTGCCATCAGCACAAGTGTTCTGAGGGTCTCCCTGGGTTGCCCTCACCTGGTGCCTATGTGAATGGATTTGTGAAGTTTGCACTGTGAGGTCCCTTACTTTAAGCCCCAAGAGTGGCCTAGATATGTGTTTCTATGTTTCTGTTGTTGTTGTTTGTTGGTTTTTTTTTTTTTGTAAAATTTGTAGAGAATTACATAATTTTCAAAGGAGACCCCAAATTACATAAACTTCAGTGCTTATGAAAACCATGTCCTCCTTTTATAAGGACATTTCTTACTCCTAGATCCCTGTTTGGGGACTGTGTGCCCTTTATGTAACATAAAAAGTCCCACTAAAAAACTAGCGGGGTTTTACTCATTTCTCTGTTTAATGAATGTGCTCTGTATGCTGGTCATGTGATGGCCTGCGACCAGCTCTCTGTACCAGGGATGAAAATTACAGTTGTGTCCTGTCTTTAGGGATTCTTCAGTCTAACAGGGGAAAAGCGGGAAGTGATTATCTAGACAGTGATTTAGCTAACTTTGTAGTTAGTGCACTTGAGGAGTAGAGTGTACACTGTGAACAAGGACAGGAGGGCCCCCTACTCTCCTGGAGGGTGGTAGTCAGGGTAGCTTTTCCAGGGACGTGACATTTGAGTAAAACTGTGAAAAAGACCAGAGGGTGGGTATGGGGAGGAATGACTTCCAGACAGCATAAGCACTGGTGGAGAAGGCTCCAGCATGCTGGGAGTTTGAGCAGCCCAGAGGAGGAGGCGGGGCTCAGCTCCTTAGTAGGAGTCAGGCCCACAAGCCCTTGCCAGCTGGTATTAAGGATTTTGACTTCTCAAGTTTTCCTTTTTGGAAAGACACAAGGTTAGAACTAGACTGCTTTGGGTAGGGTTTCAGCCCAAATCATAGGCTCTTTTCACAATTCTCTGTAATTCTGCTTACATCAAAGTCAAAATTGCCTGCATCTGGAGAGTCACTGTATCCAAGCCAAATTACAGACACCATTCTTGGAGTGTTCAATGGCAACTCACTACTTCCTCTCTACAACACTGACTGTGAAGGTTCAGCCAGAGCTGGTTCTGACAAGGTCAGAGGAAGTTGGGCACCAAGCTGTGGTTGATACATGGACAGCTACAGACATCACTGAAATGA